TATTTCCAAATGTAGTAATATGCAGCTCCTAAAGTTCAAAAAAGTTTACCCTATGCTGGACCTCCTTCTTAGTGGTGGGCTTGTGAGGAGCAACAACTTTTTTATAACCTTAGATGGAATGTCCTAGCATGCCCCAGACCATCAGACTCCAAAAATCTTCTCCAATTTGACGGACTACTAATATTCTGGTACTGTATTTCTCATCCTCTGGCATGTGTCTATGTCTTATATGGCATCCAAAGTACTTGCTACTTCCTGTTCAAAAGGTCAAAATGAAATGATATAATCAACATAATGGACTAGTATAATGTTATGCAGATTATGAAGATAATCAAATTCCCTGTGCACTATAATGTTACAGAGAGTGACAGAGTTCATCCTGACCCAGGGCAGAGCACAGCTTCTTCTTGAGAACTGAAAAGCATTCATTTATCAGATGACTATCTATATACCAGCTAGTATCAGAGGTGTATCAATTTGTCCCAGTGCAGACAATACATCTGGCCCAGATTACAGCTAGCTCAAAATACATTAGTTAAAGCCAGGCATATGACCAAAACCAACTTCAATGGGAGAGTAAGAAATACTCTACCTACTCTACTGGGTTACCTGCAATTGTGTAGTGATGACAGTAATAGCTGAGAATTATTAACTTTATAGAATAAATTATTATGTTGAATCAATAATGGAATCACAAATATGGTGATGATTGACTAAGTATTGACTTTTTGCTAGGTACTCCGCTAAATGATCAACATGTATTATCTTATTAAGTACACTGACTAACGTTTTTGCAAGTATCTGGAACTGTATGATAAATGTTTCTTCTAAGCATCAGGACTGTCCATGGAATTAAACAAATGATAAACTCTGAAATAACTGCAAATGGATTCAGATCTCCTGAGGAACAAAAATGACCCTTTATATTCATGAGGATTTTTATTAAATTAAAAAAAAACTTTGGTTAATGCTGATATACTGGGAATAAAATGTATCAGTAGTTTTGGAGTAAAGTGTTGAACCAAAAGAGGCTTTCCATATTCTACATTAAAAGTAATGGTAGGGCTTCCCTGGTGGCGCAGTGCTTGAGAGTCCGCCTGCCGATGCAGGAGACGCGGGTTCGTGCCCCGTTTCGGGAAGATCCCACATGCCGCGGAGCGGCTGGGCCCGTGAGCCATGGCCACTGAGCCTGCGCGTCCGGAGCCTGTGCTCCGCAAATGGGAGAGGCCACAACAGTGAGAGGCCCGCATAACGCAAGGGAAAAAAAAAAAAAAAAAAAAAAAAAAAAGTAATGGTAACTAAACTATTTGAAGGTGTGACATCAATGATCAGAAAGGCTATAAGAGCTTTCTCCTAAACAGCTATGGTGAGTACATTTCCTCTTGTAACCATGACCTTAATAAAGATGTATGTCACCAGGGGATGAGACTGTGTGTGGGGGTAGGGGGGACTGTGAAGTTACTCACTGATATAAAATTTGTGATTAATAAATTTTTGCATACTTCTCCTAAACCCTTTCCCATATTCTATCCAAAGATACATTGAAAAAATATTAGTTGTTTCAGCTGGAGAGTCTCTCACATGATGCAGAAAACAGGTCCAGTATGTCAAATATCCTATTGTTTAAATCATTTACAAGAGGATTATATTCATAATTCATTTGTTATTGGTGTGGTAATATTGAGGGAGAAAGAACAGAGGAAGGAGGGAAGAAGGGAAAGAAGGAATGAAAGAAGGAAGGAAGGAAAAAAGAAAAGAAAAAAAGAAAAGAAGGAAAATTAAGAGAGTAGGTAGCAAAATCCTGAAATTATGGATATCCAGAAGTAATATTAGGTTGGTAGATTTACTGACAAACCCTTGTCTCCTTTCTTTCTTACCTTCCCACATACTTTTATAATAAGCCCTCCTTAAATGAGGTAGTCTGAACAGTTCTAGTCCTTGCAAGCTAAAAAAAGCTAATTAACAGAGATGCAAAAGCTCTGCAGTGCATTACAACACAAAAATATTGAAATTTATTGAAATGCATTTAATTTAGACTATAGAAATGCTAAGAACATTTTTTTAAAATTTACTTATTTCAAATATGTTCGACGTTGGAGTCTAAATATAAATTACTTAAAAATAATATAAAGCCAATATATATTTTATTATGTACCAATATAATGCTTACTATGTACCACGTATATATGTATATATGTGTATATACATTTAACTTTTTTTTTTTTTTTGGGGGGGGTACGCGGGCCTCTCACTGCTGTGGCCTCTCCCGTTGCGGAGCACAGGCTCTGGATGCGCAGGCTCAGCGGCCATGGCCCAAGAGCCCAGCCGCTCCGCAGCATGTGGGATCCTCCCGGACGTGGGCACGAACCCACGTCCCCTGCATCGGCAGGCAGACTCTCAACCACTGCGCCACCAGGGAAGCCCCATACATTTAACTTTTGAAAGGAGTCTATGATATAGATAAGATGGTTAGCATCATCGCTATTATATAGATAAGAAAACTGAGGCACAGAGAACAGAGAGGTTAAGGAACTTTCCCAAGGTCACACTAGTAGTCATGATGGATCCTGGATTATATCCAGGCAGTCCCAGTACCATGCTCTTAACCACTGCTATGTACTGACCTTCTTCACTTATTTTATTTTAAAGAAAATTTTAAAGAATCTAGAAAAAAATGCTGCCTTAGAACACTTGTAGAAATGGAAATTTTTATGACTCTCGTTGCCACAGGAATAGGCAACAGATTAAGAAATCTTCTGATGAGTGAATGAGGAACTTCTCTCTTTCACTGCATTAACATATTTAGATTAGACAAAGGAGCAAGAAAGTCATTCCAGCTTCATGGTATCAGCCAAGAAAAATTATCCTCAGGACCAGATGCCAACAGCATGCCCTTTAGTATTTGGACAGGATGCAAAGGCCCAGCTGTTCTGTCAGCCTTCCTTATGCAGTTTGCTGACAAAGAAGAGGCCCAGTTAATTTTCCAAATATGCAATATAAACTGAAACTGATTCATCTGCAAACACTGAATTACTTCTAGGAATGAAGAAATAATAATACTGAAATAATAAATTTTTCATAGGCTCATAACACATTGAAATGTTTCCAAAAATGGAATTTCTCAGGAAAAATAAATAAGGCAATAAGCTACTCCTGTTTTTCAGAACTACTTTTGGATTGGCCAGAGCTCAAAGATTGTATCCAGATTGCTGAATCACGAAAGGGAAGATGTATGGAGAAAATAAGAAACGTGTAATATTAAGGGAATGTAAGGATGAAGATAGAGGGAGAGGAACAGCTAGGATGACTTAAAAACAAAGATAAGTTGCATTTTTAAGTAAAATTTGAAGTTCAGAAGCTGCAGAACTTGGTACATTCATTGTGGGAATAATGGGAGCATCAATAAGTCTTCTCTTGTGGCTTCTTTTAGGTTTACTCAGACCTTCCTACTTTGATCCCAACTTTTTTACTCTGGAATTTTTATTCTATGTATATAAATTAAGAAAATCAAATTATAACAACACTAAACTTTCTTTGGGATAATATTCTTGAGTTAGTGTTACCATTTTTTAATTTTAGTAAAATTATTTTCATTGGACTATACTGTTTTCTGCATAAATCTGAAAATAAAAATGCTTTACATATCAGCTTCATCAATATCACATTTTAACAATTATTGCTTCTGTGCTTATATATTTAGTTTTGCAATCATTTTTTCTACTAAGTCTAATTATATTGGGTCAAATTTTCTGCAACTCAATTTTATTGAGACAATTTTATTCTTTAATAAATTTTCAGTTCTTAGCAAGTGTCATAATTTGCAATTTTAGCCACTATGGATTTTAATATTTTTCAATATTTTAAAATAATTTTTCCTAGAATACTTTTACTGTTTTCCATTTTATCAGCAGCATAAGTTTTATAAAACATATTTCACCATTTCAGTTTACTTATGGTCTTATCAATCTACTGCTTCATTCTGTGAAGTTCATATGCTTATTTTTATTTGTTCTTCAGGGTCAAAATTGTAGAGTCAAAACATCCTTGAGGATTAAAGAGTTAAGGATGACAGGACCAAAAGACAAGATAGAAATGATGGGAGACTTTATAATCTCCACATTGTTCTTTACTTTCCCGTATACAGTCGTGTTAGCTGGATTTTTTTTTTCTGTAATACAAACACTTAAAATATGTAACTTTGTCTACCAAATGAGACTTCTTTTCCATCACAGTGTTTGTGTTTAATATCAATCCATATTTTGAACCAGTCAGGTTAAATATATGACAATAAGAATTGGCAATTAATGAATAAAAACATCCTGAATATTCTGTATCTAAATTAAATTTTTACATCATAGATACATAGCCTAACTATACTATCTTATATCTAACCCCTTTTTTCACTCCTACAAGCTTTTTCTTTGCTCATTGTTTGTAATTTTAGTGACCTTTGAAAGTCTCAATTTCTGTTCCTGCTACAATTAGCTATGAAAGCTGTAGCTGCCGACTCTTGAGAACCTGAATTCATACAGCACCTACAAACATTTGTTTTTCAAGGTTTTCTATGGATATAATGACTAGGAGTAAGGAAAGTACATGTGACCTCGTTCATCACATTCTTAGAACAAATGCTTCCTCCACTGCAATTATGTCATCATGAAATCATGTTCCACATTCTAAAATAAACTCATTGCCATATGAATTGTTATCTGACTGAGATATTTTTGTAGTTGTCTTTTTTAACAGCCTCCTTAGAAATGTCTTTTAAATTTCTCACAATACCAAAACAAAAATTTCTTTTTTTTGTCTTATCCACATGAATACTTCAAGCTTGAATGTTCAGCAGTCACTACTCTTATCCTGCACTGTACACATACTTGAATTTCACACACACACATACACACAAACACATTTTTAGCTAAATCAACTAAAATGTACACTTTTTGACTTCCAAGAAAAGTGAAAGAGAGTTTTCCACAATATCACGGTTCGGGACTCACCTGTGGACGTGGATGTCCTGTGACCAGACAGGTCAATTCCAGGGTTTCTCCTTCCCGTATGGTGTAGACCCTTTCCGAGTAGCGCTCCTCCTCAATGTTACAGGCCAAGCCTGAATGCACAATACGAACCGTGGGGGGAGCTGTCAAATCAGGAAGAAGAGAGACAAGATACATAAAAAGATAAGCAAACTGTCTTCCCCGATCATCATGGTTGTTATGGCAATTCTTATTAGACTTTACCACTGTCAGATCCATCAGTCTTAACACTTTGAACATCCCCAAGGGATTAAAGATTCTGCCGGACAGAAAAGTTCAAGTTTACCTTACAGTCACCAACACAGTCTGAAAATGGCAAAGGGGAATAGGGTAATGGGGAAAAACTGGTGATTCAGGAAATCACCATCATTACAAGACCAATGATAAAACTTGATTGTTAAAATGTGATAGTTCCCTTCCTCTCTGAAATCTAAAATTTAATATAGTAAGGGATGTTGTCCAAAAGCTAGGTAGTACAAAAGAAAGACCATCAGAAAGGAAAAAGGAATGTGAATTAAAGACATTGCCATTTTTCTATTAATTTTATAAGTCCTATGGTGTAACTAGGGAGCTAAAGAATAGGAAGAGTTGGTTATCTGGAATTGAACACCAACTTAGTTTTCAATATTTATAGACTCCTGTATTAATATGAGCAAAAGATAATCACTGAATTAAGCCACTGATGAAGGCCATAAATCACTGATGTCTAAGTATAAAATTCTGATTCAAGATACACTTCTCATGAAACTGTCCAAATTCCATAATATAATTTTCTCCGACTTCAATGTCACATGGGCCTATAAAACTTGACTAGCATTCATTGACTTACATATCATTGGAAACCCACTGTATGCAAAAATTCTTTTGGTAATGAGAAATACTTAGATAATAAGATATGCTTCTTGTCATCAAGGAGATTACTGTGACTAGCTTCAAATTGGAGATCATCCCCATTTGTGAATTCAGCATTTTTGTTTGTAATACATTTGGAGTGGAGGCAAAAAGTTTGTCTTAATTAAAGGCAAGAGGAAAATCTATATCTACATGTAAGAACAATGACCTCAAGAATTTCCTGATAGCAATCTCAGCCTGAACAGCAGTATTATCAGCAGTGGCTATAGTTACTTAAAAATTCATATGGGCATATTTGGAATTTTTAATTTAACATTTAAAAGACTATGAATCCGGGCTTCCCTGGTGGCGCAGTGGTTGAGAGTCTGCCTGCCGATGCAGGGGACGCGGGTTCGCGCCCCGGCCTGGGAGGATCCCACATGTAGCGGAGCGGCTGGACCCGTGGGCCATGGCCGCTGGGCCTGCACGTCCGGAGCCTGTGCTCCACAATGGGAGAAACCACAACAGTGAGAGGCCCACGTACCGCAAAAAAAAAAAAAAAAAAAAAAGACTATGAATCCTATAAAATTTGCAGATAAATTTGGTGATTTTATGGAGGAAATAAAATGATTATAAGTCCAACTTACAGGAAACTTTCTTTTGGGAAAATCTGTGCTGTGAAAGTAAAAAAACAATAGTTTCCAATATCTAATACTTTGTTTTACATAACAAAAATGTATAGAACACTCAGAAAGTTTAAGAACTGAAAAGGGCATATTTTGTTATTGTTCTTAATTTCAAACTATTAGATAGAAAAGGCTACTTGCGGATAATAAAACAACAGTTATTTCCTTTTTTTATTTCTGGATATCCAAGCAGAGTACTGTTCTTCAACCCTCAAATTCAGGATCCCACTCTCCAATACCCAGTATCAAACAACATGTATAAAACTGCCAGCAGCTGGATAAGAATGAATAATATATTTAGAAAAGTAGTTCTTACATTTAGTATGCATAATAAACTCCCCAGGAACTTGTTTAAAACATAGATGTCAGAGGTATACACAGAGAATGCTATGTCTGCAGAAAACACCCGGAATCTGCCTTTTTACAGAACATCCCAGGTGATGACAATGACAGTGCTACTCAGACCAGATCATTAGAAATAACTTTCTAATGGCTCTTATAAATATTTGTTTATTAAAGGACAATACACCATGGGATAAAATGTCTTTTTCTTTTAATTTTTTTCAAGTAACTAAACATCATGTTATGCATCTTTTCACTGGTTTAAAAAATTAAATAAACCAAACAATTTTGTAAGTTTGTTTAAAAACTTAAACAAACCAAATAATTTTTTGGTCTATAAAACCAATTTATCAAAAATTTTCTACTATGTCTTCGGACTCTGTCTAGACACTGTAATAATTTGCCTAGTTTTAAGACATTAGAAATCATCTGTAGTGTTTATCTGGGTATTCTGATATATTTCACACAAAGTTTCCTACAAATCATTTCCTATCGTGATCAAATTTAAACTTGAATTTAGACAAGTAATACTAGAAAGTTACTTATTTTAAAACATCTGTCATACAACTGTATACGTATTATGGAGGTGAACAAACACGACAATCAATAAACACCTGCAAAATATAAATAGAAAATTAAGTAAAAAAATAGAGATTCATTACCTTGAAATATATTTCTTTGCCAAATTTAGCCTAACAAGTGATAGCCCACGTTTATTAATACATCTAATTATATAGTAACATGACATCTTTTCCAGATTTATACTTATTTTTGTTTTAATTTCAAATCAATGAATAGTAGTTATTTTTAAGACATATTTATTATGCAAATAAGTAACTTCATTTAAAACATTTAAATTATACAGTAAGCACACTGTGTTCATCTACAAGGGCAAATTTTCTGCTATTTTCTTCTGTATTTTAACACATTCTTGGAAAAGGTAATTGCCTATATATTGTAGTCATTATGAACCTACCACCTATCTTATAGGAGGGCGGAATATTCTACCAAATTATAAATGTTAAAGATGTATTTTTCCTAGTATGCATTAAAATACATGATCAGTACTTTAGAATCTCAATGATAAGATGAAAATTTTGGAAGCTTCCTTTAACTCTTTTGGTCTGCAGAAAGCTCAACTGAAAAGGTCTTAGAATTCATCCAGGTCAATTCTCTGATTTCCAAATTAGGGAAGGAAAGCCCAATGACATCAGATGACCTGGCTACAGGCTTGCAGCTAGTTGTGGCCTAAATGAGACCAGGACCACTGTTCCTAGGCTCTTTTTACTACCTCATGCTGTTAAAACTATGCCTGGCACAGTTAAAGTAGGATTAAATAACTCCTAAACTAGACCTAGACTACACTAGGGGAATAAAAAAGACTGAGAAATAGTTCATGAAGTTAAAGCACCATAACTAGATCTGCAATATAAACAGTACAATTGTTCCAAACTTAACCAGTGTAACATTGTCCCAATTCACCATCCTGTCTCCAGTCCCTATCAAATCCATGAAATCTTACAATTTCCCAAATAATATATTGTAACTTCTTTTTTCATCATGTTGTATTCCTGCCTAAGAATCTATAATGTCTCCCTATGACATTTCACAGAGTCCAAATCACCCCACATGGCATTTAGGTGCCCTGTAAATGGTCCTCATACTGATTATCCAACCCAAAATCCCACTTCTCTGTAACAGCAGCCCAACATCAGTGGGAAGATAAAGAGCACTGAGAATTCAAGTGTCTTTGATCATGATGTTTCCCCATCTAGAATTCCCACACTGATCTTTGAACCAATGTTGCTAAAACCTTCGTGAATTACTTAGCAATGATTCTCTTCTCTTTTTTCCAGAAAATCTGTATTGCCCAGTGATTCTCCTTTTTCTTAACATTCTAACTTGATAGGAAGCACCTCATTACAAGGATGAACATAATTTTCAGCATCTATTCCACACCACATAATTCATAGCACAGAGTAGGTATTTAATAATTAATTTATAATTTTAAGCATATATCATTATACGGACTCTAACCTATTTTAGCAAAAATATTAACCATTATGACACTGAATTTGCCTACTTTAAATATATATGCAATTTGCAGTACTATATCTGAAGCAAGACACGTTTTATCCTCTGCCTTGTTAGAGAAAACCTCAATTCATCATCCTGAAATTGGACTAAGGGTTATGATCCCCTTTGCCCTGTAGAGCCAGCAATGAATTAAAATGTTAAAATATTACAAGAGACTCATATTCATCAAAATTTGCTTGCAGTAAGCCAAATCCCATTACATAAAATCTTTCTAACACTAATCATATCAACTCCCTTAATTTGAATAAACTGGCTTTGGGTTCAAGAGGTCAGCCTAAAAGTGCAAAAGAGAGACATTCTTTTATCTTGTTAGAGTATATCCAAAGTCAAACCAAATTCTCACTGTATTCTGTTGGAGAAAGAACACAAATTCTTTCTTATTCTCCAATGGCAACAGCAAGAGCATTTTTAAGCCTTTTATATCATATACAGATTTTCAAACATATATTTATTGAGCAACTGCTATAGGTCAGGCACGAGGCTATGAGCTGAGGATATGAAGATTAATGCTATGAGCTGTGCCCTCTATGGGTTTATAGCCTATTGGGTCTGTCCAATTTATATATATATATATATATATATATACATATATGTGAATATATATATTTATTTATTTATTTATTTATTTATTTATATAAATAAATAATACAAAAATAATAAAACAATTACAGTTGAGCAGAATAGATATTCTAACAGAAGGAAGTGAAAAGACCATAACAGGACAAAGCAGAAGCTGACTAAATCTGCCTGGCAGATTCCAACAGGTTTCATGAAGCCAGTGGCATTTAACTTAGGTTTGGAAAGATGCATGTGGTGAAAGGAATTCCAGAGAAAGGAAATGGTGTGTTCAAAGGCATGTCTATAAGAGACTGCCTGCAGTGTTTAGGAAATAACTACATGAACATGTGGTCCACATAGTTTATAATATACTCCAAACCTTGACACCAGTGCCGCTCTCTCAATTTGCCATAATGTCTCCAGACATAAGAGACTGTATAGCCCTGTGAATGGAAATGATGGGGGAAACCTACTTGAGAGTTCTTGTTAGACAGGACTTGAGGATTGACTGATGTGGGAGCAAGGGGGCAGGAGTTAAGATGACAGTGAAGTTTATATTTTGGTTAAATAGGTAAAAGATAAACTTTTAA